ACTTCTTACGTGCGTACACAGCACATACTTTTTGTTACTAAAGATTTGTTTCTCTTTTTTCATATTTTCCTTTATTTGAATTTATTCTAAGTTACCTGAAAGTATTTGAATGAATGGTCTAACAGGAGCAATTTGGCGTAATGGGTGACCCAGCGACCACAATGCGGGATCCGCTATTCTATCGTTGGCATGGATTCATTGATGACGTTTTTGTCATGTACAAGAATAAGTTGCCGCCTTATGACAAGAACAAGGTAAGCAAAAGGCAAAACACTTCAAAAAAGTTATAGATTTTTTTTTTCGTTATTAATTTGTGTAAAATAAGTTCAACTTGAGTTAGAAGCGTTGATTGGAAATCAGGTGACACGAAACAGTCAAAATATTACTTAAGTAGTAATATTACTTAGTAATATTCCAAGGTGGATTTGGTTTTGCAGTGGCTGAGCATATCAACTACTGCGAAACGTGTCGCGGATTCGATTCCCGCACGGAAAAAGTATTTGTATAATATATGTTTCGGGATGGGTTCTTTGTGTATTTGAAATTTATATTTGTAAAGGTTGACACAAGAGAATTCAAACTGTATTCTCTAAAATATTCCAAATCAATAAATATAAGTAATATTTAGTGAATAAATTCGCGACAAATTTTGAGACGAAGTGGATGTTTTTGTCTTGTGTACGTGTCATATGCAGCAACATACTTTGCTCTGTATTTTACTGGATTACACGTGACTACACCCTGGCCTACGGAGATTAATCGCAGGTAGACTTAAATTATTCATCATCGTCCTCCTGCCCCTATCCCATCTAGATTGGGTCGGCACAACATGTGAAGTATGTTGTACTAGCGACCCGCCCCGGCTTCGCACGGGTGCAATGTATTATACATATAAAACTTCCTCTTGAACTACTCTATCTAGTAAAAATACCGCATCAAGATCCGTTGCGTAGTTTTAAAGATCTAAGCATACATGGGGACAGACAGACAGCGGGACGACTTTGTTTACGACCGGCCGCCTGCCTGACGTCAACCTTCCTTGGGAACAAACACCCAAGTCCCGAACAATTATCTGTGGGTCACACAAATACTTTTCCCATGTGAGAATCGGACCCACAACCAATATTAATGATATAGAATTAATTTTTAATAATATTAATGATATAGATAACGTGTGTCCATACTCTGCTACTTTTAAAAATTGTTATGCCTTACATTAAATGACATATATGAATGTTACAGATGATATATAGGACGTATGACATGGAAAGAGTTAGCGGTCTACAGAATTGCAATCTAATTACACCAATTGGTGTAATTTGAGGACCAAAAGTTTCAGTGCGCTAATGTTATGACATTGTATATACTACAATTGCCCACGAAACCCGACGCCGAAAACGATAGTTTAACAACGGCACCGAGTCATCTCAGGCATAAATAACAATTTGAACGATTTAAATCATTACTCTTTAGATAAGTGCACACTTGTACGACCACTCTGTTAGTGTACATTCGCGTTTGCAGCTGGACTTCCCGGGCATCCGGGTGTCCGCGGTGGCCGTGGAGGGCAAGGCCGGCCGGAACACGTTCGCCACGCAGTGGGAGCAGAGCACGGTGAACTTGGGGCGGGGGCTGGACTTCATGCCGCGGGGCAGCGTGCTCGCTCGTTTCACTCACCTGCAGCACGACGATTTCGATTACGTGTACGCAATCCTACCACGCAGCTCCGCCTGCATACATGTATGGAGTCATATTGGAACGAATTTCAGATCTGATTCCAATTCCAGTACCAGTACTCTGTGAGGCCGTGGTACCTAGTGTAGTCTGAAGCTGTTGTGTGGCCCTAACACAGTATTTCCTCAGTATGAAATAGAAAATGTTGTCAGTGAGACATTTGAGAGAGGTTTTCGTCGGTTCGATCCCGAATGCGGGAAAATATTGTGTGACGAATATAGTACTTTTCCAGTGTCTGGTAGTTCATATATCTATAGTAAGTAGTCGTCTACAAAAGAAAAGTACGTTTAACTCAATTTAGCAGCTCTTCATTACCCATAGTAAAAGCATTGCTTAGTTTTGGACTAGACAACGTTGTTTGAAAATGTGTCCGGTGTGCCGAAATGTTTACAATTTTTCAACAGCATCGAGGTGGATAACTCATCGGGCAGCAGTGCTATGGGAACCGTGCGCATATTCATAGCACCAGTCGCCGACGAGACCGGAAAACCATTCGAATTCAACGAACAGAGGAGACTCATGATAGAGCTGGACAAATTTTCACAGGGCTGTAAGTATATCAATTTATTCCCAAAAATAAAAATTAGCGTGAAGGTCAGCATTGAAAATCAGCGCTGTGTGGGTCCTTAACTTCCGGCACAGCATAATGCTGAGCTGATTTACCGAAATAAGGCGTACAATACTTTTCGTTTGTTCAAATTATTTTTCGTTTGTTTTATATTTTACTGTATTATTTATATTTTTTTTTGTTGTGTACGTCGTTCTTTATTGGTAAATAAATGTAATTTCTTTCTTTCTTTCTTTCAATTTTCCATTATAATCCTGGCAACGTAGAATTATTTTAATCTAGTCAATAATAGTAATTGAACGTAGTAATTTATTTGTTTGTTGAGAAAATTATGTCATTATAAAAAGTTTCTCGTCGCTGCGGAAATCGAACCAATTATTATGGCAATCGGCCGTTCTGCTTAGCGTATAAAGCGTCTGGGCGTGAACTCGACAGACGTGGATGCATTTCCCGCAGCAGCGGCGAGAAAATTTTCGTCCTTTTATCTGCAAATTTTGTTTTAAAAATAACTTTCAGTCGAGTTTATTTTCTCAATCCTTTTCTAATCCCGATCTCAGTGCGTCCCGGGAGGAATACCATCCGCCGTCGCAGCGTCGACTCCTCCGTGACCATTCCGTACGAGCGCACCTTCATGGACCAGAACACCCGCCCTGGCGACCCCGGCTCCGCGGCCGCCGCCGAGTTCGACTTCTGCGGTTGCGGCTGGCCCCACCACATGCTTCTGCCCAAAGGCACCAACAGCGGCTACCCGATGGTCCTCTTCGTCATGGTGTCCAACTGGGCTGAGGACGGCGTAAGTTTTAAGTTATTACGGCTTGATAGATAAGAGGAATGGCTGAGTTTGTGCAATCAGGTGGATCATGGGTTCAGCTCCGTTTATATGTGAAAAGTTGTCAAGCGAACAGGCGGTTCACCTGGAGATATGTGATCACCATATGCGATGTCATCTACAGCAGTTTGCAGATGCTTTGAAAACTTAAAAAGCAGTGGACCCCGGCTACCTCACTCACCAGATGAAATTCGAAAATGTAATACTACTTCACTTCACTACAGTCCTGGGAAGTACCACAGCCTCACCTCTGACGAACCTGCCTATTTGTGCAACTGCGAAAGCTGATGTGTGGCCACAGCACAATAAAACGCTATAATTAATTATTATATATTTTAACTCAATATAGTCGAGAAATCCGAGTTCAAATATTACTTTTTAAAACCAGAGTAAATTATAAAATACACTTTTGTAGATGCAACATTCACGATTTCTTTACTTAACGAATATTCTAAAGCGTTTTGTTCGTCTTTGGCCAGATCCAACAAGATCTCGTTGGTTCGTGCAACGACGCCGCATCTTACTGCGGCCTGCGCGACCGCAAGTACCCGGACCGCCGGGCCATGGGCTTCCCCTTTGACCGCCCGGTCAAGCCTGGTGTCCAAACTGTAACCGACTTCCTGACACCCAATATGGCCGTCGCCAATTGCAAAATACGCTTCACGGACGCAGTCAGGCTGAGGGGCCAGCAGTGAGCGCACCCGGGCTCTGACAACTGTTGCACTGCTAACCGTTTAGATATAAAATAACACACTCGAATGTAATATTATAATCAAGAACCAAGAAGAATCAAGAATCTAATTATAACCTGTATTTCTGTATCCCCGAGGGGTATTAGGGGGTTATCACCCGAGGGGTGATTGCAAGGGATTATAATACAGCTAGATAGAAATCAAATTGAACAACATCTTCTATTGAGACTGGACAGGATTAGAATTTCTGGAATTTGTGTTACTATCTGTTATTGAGATTACTATGAAATTTACCGATAGATAGATATCAAAATGTGTTAACTGTGGTAAACTATCGAATATATGATTGTTATTTTCTATACTTAGAAAGCATTCTGTTACTGCTTTATTGACGCCTGTAATAATAGAAACTCGCTTTCATCGCGTTCATGTGAAAATAAAAACAAGTTTCTGCTCCAAATACGACTTGGCTACGGATTATGGACTTTTAGTTATAGTAATTAGAGTTATTGGGTCAATTTTCGTATAGCTCCGTTAATATTTGTACATTATTAATAATTATAGTATCCATAAGACTGAATATATCAAACCTTTCACCAAAATGCGTTTTATTTTATTATAATTTTTCAATAATTTGATAAGATAATGCAAATGATTTTGGTATTTAATTTCATATTACTGAGTTATCTTCTAATAATAGACGTGTAGTTTTGTTAACTTTTTAAAATGTTTTGTCGATTCGAATAGTCTATTCGATTTTACATCGTTCAACATTCGTGCGAGGGTCTAATTTGGCTTGTTTGTTGCCGCAATTAACGAATCAATAAGACATAAGACGTTTAAGTCTTAACAGTAACGAAAGTTATATAAATTCTTTCATAGTCATTGTTACATTACTGATTTCATGATGGAGCATCGGACAGCACGGGTATGTACAGAGTCACATACTATTTTTCATTAGAAACAACAAACGTGAAAATTAATTTTTTAATAGTTTTTTTTTATATATTACTTGTACCACGAAAGCATTAAAATGATTGTGCTCTTTAACAGCCCTATGAAATAAGTTAGTTTTTACACGTTTAGCGATCTTGCAATGAATCGTAGATTATGCTCTTTTATACTTTTTATTGATCTTCAAAATTAAACATTTCAGATCACTCTAATATTCATCAGCATGTTGTGCATTGGCACAGTTTTTGTGCATGCACAATCGTCTGAGGCTTCTGACCCTTCGTCAGTTGCCCCAGCAGCAGAGGTTTCTCCGGATAACGGTGCAAGCAGCAGTAAAGAATCTTCACCTGCACCAGACGATGCTTCTGTTGGCACAGATGCACCCGCTGCGGAGGAAGAGAATGCTGGGAGCACAGAGGAACCCGCTACCGCGTCACCGCAACCCACAGAACCGCCAGTCGCACCTGTTTCGGACACGGCGCCACCAGGTGGAGCTGATGCTGGGGCGACTCCTGCGCCAGCGTCGTCCGCCAAACCTGTACCTGAAGCAGGGAGTACAGAATCGCCTTCCGTTGATCCCATAGCACGGACTCCACCATCTGAAGGCTCCACAGCTTCGCCAGCCACGGCCGGCACATCCGCCAAACCTGTACCCGAAGCAGGGAGTACAGAATCGCCTTCCGTTGCTCCCGTGGCACGAACTCCACCATCTGAAGGCTCCACAGCTTCACCAGCCACGGCGGGCACATCCGCCCCCGTTACAGAGGCACAGACCAATGCTCCCGGACTACAATACTACGTCATGCCGTACTACCCAAATAATGCGTACTCTCAAGTGATGAATATTTATCCGCAATATGGTTATTACGGCTAAGCTCTCAAGGATAACCGGTATCGGTATGTAAATTCTAATCGGATTGTTAACAACAGGAAGTATGAATAGTTATTGTTTTTAATGTAATAAACGTAATGTTGTAAATAAGAAATGTAAGAAAGCTTTGTATGTTATTGAATTTATGGTACAAGTTCATGTGCTTATTTATGTTGAAGATAATAAATCTATGACTTGTTCTATTGATTAAAAATCATTAATTTATGTTATGATAGTTTTACTCTTATCCGATAAATGATCATTGATGTAAAATTTTTTGTTTTACGTTTCCATACGTATAACAAAAGCGAATCTTGTAGAGGTATCGATAAGATAATGTTATATTTAATATATTAAGTTAGAATTTCTTCCCTTTTTATACCGTATACCTATTGCAACATAATTTATGTATCTCTGGAACTAATTTAAGCTTTCGATAGTTTATGAATCAACAGTGTCTTTAAAGTGTTCTTCAAAGTATATTTATTGATTTATTTTTAAAATAAAATTCTGCAAGAACTATTCATCGAAAATCCTTTCGGCTTAAGATAAAAATAACATAGCAAAGAAAATAATCGATGCTCTCTCAATAAAATTCTGTAAAGTTAGAAATCTCATTTTCTAAGTAAAAACAGCACTTTGTTCACACAATAGGGTATCAAACGTATCGTTTCGAACTTCATAATGTTCACGCCAATTACTAAAGCATGCGATCTTCAAACCACGCAAGCAAATTGAATTTATATCGCTTGTAAGCATTTACAAAGTATTCAACATTTATTAGGGTTATGTCAGTTCAATTAGTGAAAAATTCTTTTAAGCACACATCACGAATAAGAACTGTACATAAAAGACAAAACATAAAAGACAATTGGCGCTCCAAAGGTCGAAAATACATTCCAATTGAAATAGTTTAAATAATGGTAACCATTATTTAGATAAGTTTAATTTGAATTCATTTATAAATCGTTAATCGTTAATCGTGATGTAGATATGGTCAAATTAAAGGTTCGGATATTAATATTCTTTAAAGAAGGCCTTTTAGTTCAAATTAAAAACTTTCGGGTCCAGATTTAATCACACGTTCCTAAATCAACCATTCGTTTATTCTTCTTCGTTAGCAATGGAGCCTTTTTTAGATAATGAACAGCTGATAGTAATCGCCCTTCAAAGTCAGAAAGAGATTCTGTTACATTCTTCCCCAAAAAGGGAGTATGATTGAAAAAAAATATTAAACTTTTAACATTTGTTTTTCATTAATTATCTGGGAAGGCTTGTTTTCATATGACTGGTATAAAAATATGTCCGATGGGATGTGAAAAATGAATTTCAAACTTAATTACACATCGTCCATGATTAAAAACTGTACACATAACCCTTGGCCAGTTTATGAAAAAACCACTTTTTTATCACATGGGAATAGAAGCTTGGGACCTTACCTTATCCATAGCGTTGTAATTAGAACCATGTGTAGGATGCTAATGAATATGAAGGCGTATAATTTGTGTATTGAACTTGGACCCTATTTCGCATTGCACGTAACGTCAATTATCGATGTTATTATTTATGCGGGCCCTAGTATGAGCGCAGTTAATTTGTCAAGATTCGTGCAACAGAAGCAGCAAGCATGAGAACTCTACTCCATTTGGTGAGCATCAAATACTTTGGCACAAAACCTTATTACCTTTGATAAGTCAAATCAAAAAAACAGTTTTTAGCTTTATTTGATTTGAATTACTTATTTTTCTTTCCTTATCTAACCTAGATGGGTTCAGCAAATCGTGGGAATCATGATGTCTATTAAAATGCAATACTATTGTATTGGCTTATATGTTTTACAACCTGCGGCCTATCTTTGGTCAACACCTCTTAGGAATAAATGTGCTGTGTGGGAATTGAATCCACGACTCCCAACCGAAGCCCACGATTCTGAATTATTACTCTTTATATTGTTAGGGATAAATTGGTTTTTACTAATTCTAATCACAGGGAAAAAGAGTAAATAAATTGATTCAATTCCGGAGATGCGGGCATAATATTACTATTTGTAATAATTTCTTGTTACGAATTCATAAATTACTTCTATTACTAGGTAACATAGTCATAGTTAAATAAATGTAATCTAATGATTTTTACAGGTTTAATTGTGATTTTTTGTTCCCAATGATTTCAGCACCTTGGACACCTCTTTTATTTAGTCAATCGGATACGGCCAATTATGTATTTATTCCATTATACGCAAAAAATCTAAATTAGTTTAATTTTCTAACATTAGTATTTTTTTTACATCATGGACATTCTTAACTTATTGTCTGTATTTAAGCGTATAGCCTAACCATTTGTACGTTATTTAAATTTATAAAAGAGCAGATAGTCACAGCTATTTTCATCCAACCCCTACAAGGTTTAAGGGTAACAGTTTTTTAAAGTCATATTTTTAACGCTGATATCATCTTTGTCATTTTCTTTGGAATTCTATAAAAGTACTTGAATGATACACGGGTTTCAAATATCGCTTCTATATTTTACAGACACTTTTGGCGTTCGCAGCGATAGCGTCATCAATTTCGTCAAATGAGAAGTACAATGATAATTTAAGCTCACAGTTTGTCTACAACGTGGATGGTAAGAAGTTACTCGCTACCCCCAGATATTCAGTACGCGACGACAAATCCAACAGGGGGAATAATCAAGGCTATGTAGCAAGAAACAAACAACCTGAATACATCGCAAGCAACTCTAATTCTGAGTGTAAGGAATCAACAGGCGTAACCAACAATTACAAACAGGGAATAAACGACAACGATAGAGGAGACTACGCAGATATCTGGGACCTGTACCACTCAAAAAACTTGGACACCTTGAGGAGAATGCAAAGTGGTAATCAAGACAAATATGCGAAGATCGACGTCGCGACCGACCGTTATAAGAGGATAGGGCGCCACGGCCTTGGGTTTGAGAGGCGTACAGCATCTGCACACGGATTGAGAGTACCGCTCACTAAGGATCTGTTGCAAGTTGTGGGAAAAGGTGAGGGTAGATCACATTGCCGTTGTTAATGTGTAAAATAAATGGGCGATAGAACGTCCCTAGTGGAAACTTGTCAGGATGTGTAAAATTGACCACACAACAGCATGTCTTTCATATGATTCTTTTGATTATATTATATGTTATAAAAAGTAATGAATAATGTAACAACTACGATTCTATTTATTTTTTATTCTTCTGTAATGTTGTTATAATAGTAAGAATTAAAATAATTCAACGCAAACACATTTTAAAAAGTTCAATTTTTTTTTAAGAATTTTTCTTTCCTTTCTTGATGTTAATGTTATATTCAGAAAGGATAAACTATTGATTTAACTCAATGTAAGAAACACGGTGAACTAATTTTTATTTTTATCAAATAAAAATATATAATTTAAAATAATGTAAGAGTACTTGTTGCAGCATTATTTCTTTATGTTTAAATGATTTAATTTACTAATTTCAATCAAAACATAATAAAATTGAGGTGAGCACATAGCCTTGTTGACGACTTTTCATTTATTTTTTTACATTAATTAACGATCATTAAAGAACAAATATAATAACACACATTTAAGAAAAGTAACTGACAAGTTATTTCTATTCAAATCTTAAAGTCATAATCACGACGTTTAATGCTCAAACTGCGACTCTAATTCTGATTTTACTTGTTTGGGCATTTTATTAATACCCAAAATTACTGATACTAATGTACATATAACATACTTAATATATAATATAATGTACATACCTTAATTGGCAAACAAGCTAACTCCATATGGGCAAGTTTTACAGGAGACACTTAAAACTATATAATATATTTTTTTAGACTACTTATGAGGAAATCTAAAATGTAGTTGGTAGATATTATCGTAAATTGTCATTTTTGATATTATAAAATCCATTATACATTTTCATTACATACTACAGCGTTTTTTAGGAGTTATCCGTTTTTTCTTCCGTGCAAAAGTATGTTATCTGGGAGTTAGCTGGTTTTCTTGATAGATTTATTTTAAATAAAAACTTTCTTTTTCTTTTCAAGTGTACAACCAAAGCGTCGTAGCGTTTTAAAAAGTGGTTATTAACAACCAGAAAAGAGTCAGATTTATTGGTATCATCAAATTTAATTTAATATTTTAATATCTGTTGTCATCTTCTTATGAATAGTAATTCTATTGCTAGAATTATTTTATCAACTAAGAAATTGATTAAAATCGTTGCAAACTAATCAGAACTCAGCCTTTGCCTTCATTCCATAGAATGGAACACCCATCTCTAGTTTTCATATCATAAATACACACGTTTTGAAGGGTAGTATATAAAAGCGTTAACTTTTTTTACATTTTTAAGGGTCTTTCCTATCTCTTTGCCTAATTGTATCTAAAGTTTTTACTAAACTATCAACTTCGTTTTTTATCCCGTCATATTTAAAAATTTATCAATTAATATTTTTCCGTCATCTTCAGAAATATTATGACATTGGATAACACTATTTCTCTTTTACTTACAGTAGTCTAGTTTCATGATTTTTTTAGTAGTTTCTGTATCAAAGGAACGGCCTAATCGTTATCCGATTTATCATTACTTGTAGAGAGGTAAGCTGGAATTGTTCTTTATCAAACGGAAATATGTCTTCATTAACAACAATTTCATATGTTTGCGTATACTGCATTGCAGACATTTCCAATACAATACATGTTGTTAACAAATCATCATCATCATCATCATTTCAGCCTGTTTGAGTCCACTGCTAAACACAGGCCTCCCCCATAGACTGCCACGAAGTAAGATCCTAAGCCACCAGCATCCATCAACTTCCCGCACACTTGCACAAATAAATTCGATGAATTAGAAGCTACGCTATCATGCCCAACCAAAGCGTCGTAGGGTTTTGAAAATTGGTTATTAAGAACCAGAAAAGAGTCATGCTTATTGGTATCATCAAATTTAATTTAAATTTTTAATAAACTTTAAAATGTATAACTTCCAACCGTAGCGTAATAAAGTAAAAAGGAAGCCGACCAACGCAAAGCCAATATTAAATTTCAGTATTGCTCAGTTACCTAGCAATGTTTTGTAAGAAATAAAATAAGTGTCCATACTGTGTATTAATGTTCAATTGTTTTTCAACACTACCTTTCCTTTTGTTGCGTTTATATATTTTTTTTTCCAAATAACGTAGGGCGGTAACCGTACATGACTCGGACGCCATACAAAATAGCCGACTTGGAGGAGTTGGCTCTTAAAATCGTAACGTTCCGTGACATGCAGAGTTGGCTGATTTGCGAATAGCGATTTATAGAAAGAAATAGTGATTATATCAGAGTTATTGTTTTTGCAAATCACGCGAAATTATTATTGCGTTCAAACAAAGCCAAAAAATATTTTTGACCAAATGTGGAGTTAGCTGGTGTGCCAATTAAGGTATCGATATGTCTCTTAAACATCGAGCGATGAAGTTACACAGCAGCCTGTTTTATGAATACGTTGCGTACGTACGCGATACGTCCGGGGTCCTTTTAAAGACCTTCAAAGGACCTGCAATCTACGTATTGCGCCATGCATAGAATATGGCCCTCAATAATCACACAACCATCTTTTTCAAAAAAAAATTCCCATTGACGTAGCTCAGTATAGTTATTCAATTTAATTTTTGTACGAGTATCAATTTATCGCTCCATAATATAAAAAAAAGTATTAAAAATACTTCTTGACAGTTATCATGGTTAGTTATAACAAGATCATAAGTAAAATACGTGCTTTTAATTGCCGATGCACTTAAAACCAATTCTTTTATCACATCTGAAGTAGTCTAGCTACTAACTACGTTATGTTCATTAACTTACACCTAATACTTTGGAAAGAAGATATATTTTACATTAACAGGTATTCTACTTTTGGTGATACTGTCACTTATAAAAGGCGGGAAGTGAAAAATTTTGTTCACTGTTCTCAAGTATATTGTGTGTCATCATTCGTTACTCGTTGCATCATCATTATGACGTCCTTACCGGTATGTATCAAGTTATATTATTGTTACGGGGACAATTAAACTCCCATAAGAGTGAGAAAATTATCAAAAATACTTTCTTGTGTCCAGTCTAATGTTAGAAGTATGTAAAATGACTGTGCAAAATGATTGGTTCTTATTAAATAACAACATACGACATAGAACTGAGCTTAAAGATGATGGTAAATTTGCTTCTTGCAACTTTGGCACTAATAAACCCCGGTAATAAGACTATACCAACAGTGCGAATATGAAGGTTAATTTATATATATATATATATATATATATATATATATCATATATATATATAAATTTGTGATACCAATAAGCATGACTCTTTTCTGGTTCTTAATAACAATTTTCACACCAAATCAAACCCTACGACCCATAGCGTAGCTTCTAAGAATTTATTTTATAAAAAGTTGATACTTAGGATCTTATAAAAGGGCGGGGGGGGAAGTGAAAAATTTTGTTTCGTTGGCAGTCAATTCGTGTATGGGGCATAATCAGGCCTTGTTTAGCAGTTGTATAGTCATATATTCTGGGGACAATTTAAAGTGGAAAGCCAGTCTAATGTTAGAAGTATGTAAAATGACTGTGCAAAATGATTGGTTCTTATTAAATAACAACATACGACATAGAACTGAGCTTAAAGATGATGGTAAATTTGCTTCTTGCAACTTTGGCACTAATAAACCCCGGTAATAAGACTATACCAACAGTGCGAATATGAAGGTTAATTTATATATATATATATATATATATATATATATATATATATATATATATATATAAATTTGATGATACCAATAAGCATGACTCTTTTCTGGTTCTTAATAACCAATTTTCACCAAATCAAACCCTACGACGCTTTGGTTGGGCATGATAGCGTAGCTTCTAATTCGTCGAATTTATTTGTGCAAGTGTGCGGGAAGTTGATGGATGCTGGTGGCTTAGGATCTTACTTCGTGGCAGTCTATGGGGGAGGCCTGTGTTTAGCAGTGGACTCAAACAGGCTGAAATGATGATGATGATGATTTGTTAACAACATGTATTGTATTGGAAATGTCTGCAATGCAGTATACGCAAACATATGAAATTGTTGTTAATGAAGACATATTTCCGTTTGATAAAGAACAATTCCAGCTTACCTCTCTACAAGTAATGATAAATCGGATAACGATTAGGCCGTTCCTTTGATACAGAAACTACTAAAAAAATCATGAAACTAGACTACTGTAAGTAAAAGAGAAATAGTGTTATCCAATGTCATAATATTTCTGAAGATGACGGAAAAATATTAATTGATAAATTTTTAAATATGACGGGATAAAAAACGAAGTTGATAGTTTAGTAAAAACTTTAGATACAATTAGGCAAAGAGATAGGAAAGACCCTTAAAAATGTAAAATACTTTCTTGTGTCCAGTCTAATGTTAGAAGTATGTAAAATGACTGTGCAAAATGATTGGTTCTTATTAAATAACAACATACGACATAGAACTGAGCTTAAAGATGATGGTAAATTTGCTTCTTGCAACTTTGGCACTAATAAACCCCGGTAATAAGACTATACCAACAGTGCGAATATGAAGGTTAATTTATATATATATATATATATATATATATATATATATAATTGATATGTAGATTAACTCTATATATCAATTTCAATCTGGGTTAGAAAGAAATCGCACCATCATTAATATCTGAATAATGTTTGAACCTTTCCGAGAAATACAAAATATTTCTGTAGTATCTTCGGATGATGTCCTATGTTGCTGTTATTTTTTCACTTTTTTTGTGTTTTCTTCTTTTTATTTAATTCTACTAAGTTTCTTCAAATGTGATAAAACTGACAATTTATTACTCTTTTTCAGCTTGACATACTGATAAGTTGCCTGCTACTAGTAACGATAAGTACGACTATAACGGCAAATACTCCATCACCAAATGCCACGGCTGCAAACCCTTCAACAGTTCCGGCTGCGGTTGTTCCTGTTGCCCAACCGTATCCGGTGCAGACGTATCCGGTGCAGCCGTATCCGGTGCAGCCATATCCAGTGCAGCCGTATCCGGTACAGCCGTATCCGGTGCAACCGTATCCGGTGCAGCCATATCCGGTGCAACCTTATCCGGCGCAACCTTATCCGGCGCAACCTGTTCCGGTGCAGCCTGTTACGGTACAGCCTGTTCCGGTGCAGCCTGTGCCGGTGCAACCTGTTCCGGTTCAACCAGGTGCGGCACAGCCTGTTCCGGTGCAACCAATACCATTGCAACCTGTTGCTGATACTACTTGGCCAGTGTACCCGTATTCCTTTTACCCGGTCCGAAGCCAGCCAGCCAACGATTATTCCCAAGTCATGAACATATACCCCCAGGGTAGTTTAGCGCAGCCTCAGTACTACTTGGTCCCGATCTCTAATCAAACGGCCAGTCAGTAAAATTTATGGATATAGGTTCAAAGAAACCTATTCTCACATCAGCTAATGTTTGGTTGGATCAATTTCTTTCATTGTATATCAATTTCATTGTATGTAAATAACAAAGATTTCATGTAAATAAAATAAATTAAGGACAAAATGTACTTATCATTTATTTCATGTGGTAAATTTAGTGTAGCCCAAACAAGTTTGTTTACGGAGATTTTCGCTTTACTTTGTGTCCCCATCGAATTCCAGCCATTACTGCTAGGATAAATTATGTCCTGCAACTTATTTAAGCGATCGATAGGGAGAGTAATGTGAGACTTAACATTTTTTAAAAGTTATAAATATGTACGTTTGTGGTGGTATTATGATCTATTATAAAATTCAATTGAAAATGCGGCGTGTCTCGTTTAAAATATTCATTGTTAAATGTTATTTCTAAAACACTTTATGCTGTAAAGGATGCACACTAGATGGCGCCTAGCATTGCTAAAATGCAATAAAGAAATCAGATCACGCAAGACTGTTGCGATATTGCACTAATGGCAAAGCATCTGCAGCCCTGCGGGCGTTGCAAATGTCAATGGGCGGTGGTTATGACTTAGCCGAAGCTCACTTAATTATAAGGTGGCAACGTATTTGCTACCCTACGGGTGTCCCCACTGGGTACGGCCCTCATTTATTTGTCCTTAAGCTGTTATGGATCACACAATGCGTGTACGTAGCTAGACGAATAGTTTTCCATTTTCATCTGAATTTAAACAAGACTTATCTGGATTGAATACACAACGGGTCATATTGTAGTTTTGCTATATTAACGCATGATTAATATAGCAACACAGCATCCATCACTACCCTTCCCCCACATAGTGTCACAAAGCACGATCCTGAGCCACCTGCATCGACTTCCCTCGTATTTGCACGGTGGGTCTTCCTATACTGCGATGGCTTACACTCGAGAAACTTTCTTCCCTTCTCTTCACCTTACAAATTTTCTGAGCTATATATTACCTTATATGTTACCTTTGGTCTGCCATTATCTTAATCTCAAATAAATTGCTAATTAATTCAATGAGTTTTAAAAAATATATATTTGTAAAAGTGTCTGTGCTTAGTCATGAAATCATTTTACTCCGAAATAATTTTTAATAATTGATTGAGATTATTTAAGAAAAGCTGTAAATATCAATAATTACTTGATGAAGAATAATAATACTCAATAATATTGATATTTGATAAAGATTTATGAATATTAAATATATTTATTAAATACTAATCACTAAACAGTATAAGTAGAGATAGAATGTAAGACCTTTGACATTTATTAATGTTTTTGGTCTATCAAAAATTGAATGAGTCAGGTCCGACTCGGGTAAGGCCTTGACTAGGGACTCCAGAAACCTTATGAAGACGCGAAGAATAAACTGACCAGCTATAATAACGGCAGATATAAATGACGTAATATCTCTTTAGCTATTAGTTATAACAATATAAATTTATGATTGATTATTGTAAAGAATATGTTAATAAATGCTTAATTGATAATTCTTATTTAGAAGTTGTCATGATCGTACGAAATCGTTTAAGGTGTCATCAACTGCCATTTTTAAGCCAATCATGTTTTTAAGCCACTCATGTTTGCGTATCGGATTTGTTTAAAAAAAAACATTATTGTATTCGCCTCCACCACATAAGATTGCCTCTTAGCCGCACGGTTTTGATACAACCTCTTTAATACACCATAAAAATTTAATAATCACAATACTTAATACTTTCGCGTTTCGTCTGGTGAGTGAGGTAGCCGGACCTCATTTTCAGCAGATGTCCATGGGCGGCGGTATTCACTTACCATCAGGTGAACCGTCTGCCCGTTTGGCAACTTTGCACAAAAAAAATTAGTAATAAATAATCAATTTATTACTATTTTTTTTTAAATTAATTATTAACACCTATTGATTCAAAAACCTTTAAGTATGCAATGGTTTAATACGCATGCTTTTGAAAAGAGGTGTGTAGAATTTCTAAAATTTAACAGTCGGTTTAATTCGATCATCAAGCTTTAGATATGTTCATACCCCAACCCAACATCTATAAATATCAGGTTTTAAAATTACTTTGTACGTAATATTCGTTTGCGATTATGTTATAACTATCCGAATATTCGTAAAGTAAATTGATAGATTCGTAAATATAAATTGAGAGAATGTTACATTAGTCGTTAATGCTTAGTTAAATTATTTTGAGCGTTAAAAAATATAAGGTACTAAGCAGATACATAATAGTTTAAGAAAAGGACTAACAACTAATTTTGGAATAACAGCTTACTCATTATCACGACCATGATCATCATTATGAGTGCTCAAATTCAGTCTGCTGATGATCTTACGTCTCTTAAATAGTGTGTGATTAAATCACACAGAAATTTCTCCCGTTGCACGAATAAGCTGGTTCGAACGGGGAGCTATTGCGGTTCCATAGAAGAATGGTGTGAAGTTTAATTATTATAAGTTCAGTGAGAGTGTGTACCCCCGGTACACCCGGTACCCCCGGTACACACTCTCACTTCCTTTAAAAACCTGCTCAGAACTTAAATTTTTCTCTATCGCCATAGCTCAGTAGATTCAATTAAATTATTCTAGAAAGAGTCAATACCGCTGTTAAATTAACGTTAATAAATTTATCGCTATAAGTGATAGACTACGTCATACACAAAGCATTTAGAAAGTATTGCTTGACACTTATCGTGGTCAGCTAGATCAAGATGATAAATTTACTGCTTTTTTTTTAATTGACGATGCACTTAAAACCAATTTCTTTATCACATCCGAAGTAGTCTAGCTAGTGATAACGGTGTTTTGAATACAACTTATATATACCTAATGTCTTGAAAAGAAGATGTATTTTACGTTGGCAGGTTGCATTTTGGCAGTTGTATTTTTGGCGATGCCATCACTTATAAAAGGCTGCAAGTGAACAAGATTGTTCAATATTCTCAAGTATATTGCGAGTCTTCATTCGTTACTCGTTGCTGTAACATCGCGATGACGTCCTTACCGGTATGTTTCAAATCATATAATTACATTTCGTCTATTTAACCAAGGTATATTTGATATTTAAACACGCATGGAGGTTATGTTTTTAAATTGATACCTCCTACTTAGAGAAAGCAATCTTCCGTTCATAAATATCTGAATAATAATCTATGGGACCAGGAAATATCCAGAATATTTCTGTTGTATCATCGGACGTTTTTTTAACTTACATTACGTGTTGATTAATTTCTCTTTTTGGACCGTTTTTCTCTTCTCTAATTTGTAAGATATAAAATGCGTAACAACACGGAGGTTAAAGTTATGTCGGATAAACTTCAAATGTTATGGAACTGACGATTCTTTATTCTTTTTCAGCTTAACGTACTGCTAAGTTGCCTATTATTGGTAACAATAATGACGCCTGTAATAGCAAAGGACCCAGCACCAGCACCTACTAACACGACAGCCACCGCTCAAAACCCTTCAACTGTTCCGGCTGCGGTTGTTCCTGTTGTACCGGTTGCTCAACCGTCCCCGGTGCAGCCGCTTCCGGTGCAACCACTTCCAGCGCAACCACTTCCGGTACAGCCCCTTCCGTTGCAGCCTGTTCCGGTGCAAACGTATCCGGTGCAGCCACTTCCGGTACAACCGCTTCCAGTGCAGCCACTTCAGTTGCAACCTGTTCCGTTGCAACCTGTTCCGTTGCAACCTGTTTCAGTGCAACCGCTACCAATGCAACCTGTTGCTACTACTTGGCCGGTATACCCCTATCCCTGGTACCCGTTCCGAAGCCAGCCGGCCAACGATTACTCCCAAGTCATGAACATATACCCCCAGGGTGGTTTAGCGCAGCCTCAGTACTACTTGGTCCCGATCTCTAATCAAACGGCCAGTCAGTAAAATGTATGGGTATAGATTTAATCTTTTTTTTTATTATTTTTTTTAAATCATTGCCCTTACTTTGGGATAACATTATCCTGTGTTGTAAGGACGTTTTTACAAACATAAATTTCACGCGGACAAGCACACAGATGCGGAACAACTATCTGTGGGTCACACAAAGAGTTGTCCCGTGTGGGAATCGAATCCACGACCCCAGACGCCGAAGCCGATACCTTGGCGACTGCGCCACGGAGTCATCAAATCATCTTTATCCTCACATTGGCTGACGTTTTAATAAAATTTATTGTTTAATTGTTACGAATAAATAAAACTCTTATTTAATGCGGGCTTTCTACAAAAACTAGATTTTAAATTAAGTAATTATATATTTTTATTTATATAAGAAATAATACATAAATATTTTGATTAAATTTACAGTTATCGTTTGGCCAATTTCTATTATAGTACTCGTATATCAATTTCATTATGTATTAATAATAAATTGCGTAAAAAAAACGCGCAATTGTTTGTTTTAATACTTTAATGTAAATAAAATAAATGAATAAATTAAAGTTAAAATATTTTTATCATTCATTTCATGCAATGTGCAAAAAAACATGTACTCGAATTTGGTTTAGTTTATTCGTGATTAAAAGATACTAGGTGAAGGGAAGGAACTAAATGCTTGTATTGTGATGTTCCTGGTACTTCCCTTCCTAATAGAACAAGAAGCGCACGTTTGGTTCCCAGCCATTACTGGGTCGCCCAAAGTTTGCACCAACACTGCTGTTTTTAACCGGTCAAATCAATTTAGGGGATGAAACGTACCATAAGATTTTTTGAAAGCTGTAAAGTACGCTTTTTGCGTGTATACTAAAATGTTTCAAACGAGTTCGTTGAATGAATAGAATAAAGAAATTGAGATAATGGAAAAATAATAATAAAGTTATTTCATTATTAAAGGACATTTACAAGCGAGTAAGGTTAATTGTTGTCATGCCTCAAAACCTAAAAACATAAATGAATTTGTGAACTACTTTTTAAGGAGCCGACATGACACGCAAACCTTTTAAAACATTGTTTTTGAATATTTTAGAACTCGTAGACCAAACTACCTCGGAGTAAAAGTTCGTAAGAAAATTCAAATGTTAACTAGACTGAGGTGGTAGTAAAGTTCTCAAACGAGTTTTTCCTTTCATTTCTTACAAAGTAAACAAAGTTAAGATTGTTTGTCGAATGCCGGCTGTATATTCAGGATTCCGTACAAGGGTCGGAGATAAAAAAAATGCGCCAATAATTACTTCCTTTGCCGTTTCCAACGATATAACTTCCGGGAGGAAACGAAATTTCATTTCATTCATTTCATTCTAAAATATGTGTTATGAGTGATGTATAAGATTATTTTCTTATCCTTTAAACGAGCAATTCTTGTATATATATATAATCGGAATCTCCGAAACGGCTCCAGCGATTTTTATGAAATTTAGTATGTGCGTAGATTCGGGGGCAAAAAATGGATCTAGCTAGGTTTCATATTTAGAAAATGCCCTTTTATCCCTGTTTTCAGGGAATGAAAAATATAATTCGAATATGACGGTAAATTTCGCCGCAAGAGAAAATGTCGCAAGAGATAATAGCTCGGTCGGTAATTGGGCGGCCCCAAAACAGACGGCCGTGGTTCGCGTCACGATCATTTACACATTTATTTTTTTACTTTTTTTCGATTCCAGATCATTGCTTTTTTTATTTTTAATTTTTTGTCGATTTGTTGTTTTGTTATGTTTTTCCCTTTTTTTTGAAGTTCTTTCTTTTGTGAAAAACATCAGTTCATATTTTCTTATTATTACGTCGGTAAGATCGAAAAATATTATGCATATTTCATTACTCAATAATTTGTATCTAAATGTAATTTCCAAAATACACGATTTACCAAAATTAAAAACAAACCGAGCAAAGCTCGGTCCTCCGGGTACTAAAATCTTACACACCAAAACAAAGATTTGATACATGAAAATTGTAAACCGGAGTCGTAAATTTTAGGCGAAAACTTGTACAGCATGTTACGATTTCAGTGGTAAAAAAGATTGAAAGTTGATTATTTAATAATCATTGCTAGTAAAGAGCCGCTAAGGCTTTCGAAGAGCAAATGATAAAAGAAATACGATCTTTTTTTTAGATTTTGCGTAGATGATATACGTACCCAGCTCTTTCTTATTAACCAGGACTATTTGTAGGCCGGACAAAGGCCGGATAGGGGACAAGCATACAAACATTATGTAGGCATGTACAGAATTGATAAATTTTTTAGAAACTTACAACATGGCATGTAAATATTAATTTTTATAAATAAAGAAAAAGAAGATAAGCATTACGGAACCCTCGTATGAATTCGACCGTCTTTACGAGTTGTAAATCGCCATGTTTGTTCCGTTTAATTCGGTAAGATACTTTGTCCCAATGTTGGTTACGGGTGAGGTGTCTCGGTAACCGGGTTTAAACTATTATAATCCTTATATAATTACTCGCAAGCGCGAATATTACCAATCTGGAAGGTTCAATTACTTAAAAAATTATATCCTGAAGAACTATTATTATAATTTAATAAACCAATGCGAGCGCAGTGTTGATGAGAGCAACCGTAGTATATGCCAGCCGTAGTAAGTGTCACGGTGGTTGTTTGTTAACGAAAGCTACCAAAACATATTGTGTAACTTTTTACTTAATTACTGTTTATACTCTACATATATACTAAATAAAAACTATCGGTCAGCTCTCATGTATACACGTATTTAAAACTATTAGACATCTTGTTTCTATAGTACGACTTTGCCCCTTTTAAAGTGGAGAATATAAAAGTTGCTTTAACGTGTTTATGGTTCCGGTAGACGTGACTCTACCCTTTCGGTAGCAGAAGCTATCCTAGCTATTATGAACCTTTGCTGCAACAAATAATATATTTGTTGTTATTGAACAATGATTATGACCGTAATCGATTAATTTGGTCGGACTTAATGATGTGACAAAAAGATGCTTCAAATAATGTACAAATGTACATGTGAAAATGGATAAGACCTATGTATCAGCACCGGAATTTACAAAAGGTACAAGACCGTAAACTTTCAGAGGCGGCAAAATATGTAGGCTGAGATTTTTTTCACGTTATCGAAAATGTTTTAAAAAGTGTTGCCGTATTTAAAACACCTTAAAATTATAATACATAAAACATTTAGAGTATATTGAAAATTGTGATCATTGCAGCTTAATCGAAAATGTTTGAGAATAAGTTTCGTTTCAGTTTCGAATTTTATTAACAGTCCACTGAAAAATTTACACCAAAATATTGAAAAGGTTGCGTCTAAAGGGAGTGTAATACGCGATGATCCGGAAGAATGGGTAATAAAAAACTTTACCAGAGATTAAGTAGGTACTCATGGATGTGAAAGAAATAATAATTTAAATGATGCAAAATATCGGTAATAGAGCGGTATTATACTTCCCAGGGTTATAACGTTAGTGTTTCAACGCTAAGACTAAATATTGTGTCCCAGGCCAGGTATTTTTATAGGGAGGAAAAATCTTTTGCGTTGCACCTGTTACTGTCACATTGGTCTGGAACACAAGTAGTCCTTGCCCCGCGAAACAGACCTCTTGAAACCCGTGTCCCGAGGGGACCTACGTCGCGCAATAGGTCAGGGTGCCATGTCGCTGATAGAGCCATTTTAAGAGGACAGGACGTTAGGTTCTGCAGCCTTTCCCACTCGATGATGGCAATCGAGGGCAGGTCATTGGGCACCCCCAAATCCTGGAGGCCGGCGAATGGTACCTGGTTTATGCTCCCTGTCACCAGAATTGCAAACATGTTTATGATGTCAAACTTTAGTCTTCCAGGACGCAAGGCAAGGAGTCGACCAACAGGCACGCCGCCTCACAAAATATCGTCCAGTATAGATAGATACAAGATAAACCTAAAAATGGATTGTGTGATGTCAAACTAGGTTCCCATTTCAGAAAATTGCTGCAGTACTTAATTGATGTAAAGCTGGACCAAATGGGACCTGATGTTGCCTTCATATTTCATAATACGAAATGCGAAAAAATTAAATATATAAAAATACATGGTAGAGATTGTGTGTAGTTTAGTGTACTCTAATACTGTTATGGGGCAGAGAGTTACAATTAATACATTGTCTGTTACGTTACTATCAGAAAGGAGAGATAAGCCATATCAGAAATAAAATATTTTTCCTAAAAGTACATGATACCTTTAGGGCACGTATATGGAGATCATTCATAATGCTAAAAAGTTACGTGCAATACATTTTATTAATAACAAAATACTTTAAGGGCAGAATTGTTCCGAATCCGCGGCAGCTGCGTGTGCAGATGGAGGAATTAATAATTGCTTTTTAAACTTCCCAAAGTTCATAACAAAAGGAAATAAAACGAAGCAGTAAAACAGTACTGAAAAGTTGGCTCCGAGGGATCAAATAAAATACTTTACGGCTGACTTTGAACAAGGCAAAGGTGCAATCTTCAAAAAGTCGTAAAGCGGTCATAAACCCGAGATTACCGTTCCTTTCGCGTGGGATCCACACAAAATTATGTACATTGTATCATCTCTAACGTTAGACAATGTTTATTTAGTAGTATTTTTAGTAGAGCAACACTTCAATATGTAATTGGTTAAATAACATTCAAATGGTAAACTAATACAAAATATATACTAGAAAAATGAGCCTAAAACTAAAAACCTTAAAAAAATTATAATAACTAAAATATATTATTATAAGGCTCAAGATACCGCCAGCGTTCCCCCTTTGAATAGCCAGACTAATTCTTTGTCCGGGCCAGCTCTTTTTTGCCAGCTCTTCGGTCTCCTGTGATGTGGACTAACCTTTTTGCTATTTCCTTAAAAAGCCTTATAGCGCTAGGAACCCACGGACCAATTGATTAAATTGTAGTTCCTAGTAATACGTGAAGAAGTATTGGTCACAAGCTTAATATTACAGAAACTA